ACATACATATGGGCAATACACTCATAACACATAAAATAAAAATAATAAAGTATTTAAAAAAAAATAAAGCCAGGTGTGGTGGTGCACACCTTTAATCCTAGCACTCGGGAGGCAGAGGCAGGAGAGTCTCTGTGAGTTCAAAACCAGCCTGGTCTACATAGTGAGTTCCAGGCCAGCTGGGGATACAGGGAGACTGTCTCAAAAAGACCAAAAAAAGAAAGAAAAAAAAATATATATATAGCAATCCACTGACGGTCCCCACTGAAGAGATAGTAAGGGGGTTGGGGGTGCTCAGATGGGTAAAAGCCTGACCTAGCTCACATATCCAGAGACACAGAGCAGAGCCCTACCTATCCCAGCCCCTACGATACCAAATGCTGAGCCTAATAGCACAGAGTCCCTACAGAGGTGGTGGCACAGGAAGGGCTAGAAGTATGCCCCAACTCCAAAAGGACGCAGTCAGCCAGGGGATCTTCTGGGGAAAGCAGTCATGCCCCGCAAGACTCCCTCTGTCTCCTTCTGCAGGAGTAGCCCCCCGCCCCCCACTGGACCCTGGAAAGAGCTGGGAGAGGTATGTTAAGAATCCAAGGCCACTGGCCAAGGCCCAGCCTCCTGTGCCCAAGAGCATGGCAGCACATCCCTTCAGCTGCCCTGACCCAAGCCTCTGCCTATCAACCCCTCACTGTAGGGTCCTTCAGCCTGGCCCTCATCTTTCAAGGCTTGAGCTGGGTCTGTTGAGCCATATCTCACAATGTCTCTGATGTCCACAGTGTGACCCTTGACCTTGCTCTATAATCCAGCCAGCCCCCAATCTCCCTGGGTGCCCCTGCAACTGTACCCAGGAGTCCATGAGGCTTCTCCTCGGTGAATGTAGTGGATCTAGTCCCTTGTAGTTCCCCATCACAAGACAACTGTCCCTTCTGCTACCACAGGGTCTCAAGGCCAGCTTTGCTGATTTCTGGAAATGAAAGCATCAGATCATGTATAGTTGCATAAGACTGGAGGCCAAGGGACATCAGAGTCACAGCATAGCTCACAAAACTGTAGGCCTCAGTCTAATGACAACTTGGCCACAGTGTAGCACAAGGCTCAGCTTCAACTCAGGTGACCCACCCCAACTCCAAGCTTTGAGGGACCCGGGGAACCTAGATTTTTGGGAATTCAGAAACTGGGGACCACTGCATAGCAAACATTAGACCCCTCAAATCTCCAATGCTTTGAATGTCAAATTCACAATCCTACCAGGCAGCTCAGGTGGAGAGAGGCAGAGAGTGAAGAGATAGTCAAGCCTCCTTCCCAATCACCATTACCCCTCACCTGACCAAGTTAGTTCCTTCCTGTCCAGTGTTGTCCATACCTGAGACAGGAGGGCCTAAGGAAAGGAGGAAAGAGATGCCCAGATGGATGGATGCCAGTGGGAAAGACCCAGGCACCCAAGAAGCCACAAAGCTCTGGCAGCTCAGTCCTAGACTGTCCTGTCCTAGGGACTACACCAGCCTAGCCAAAGGATGTGAGGCCAAACCAGACTTCCTGGGGCTGCTGGGCAGCCAGGTGTAATCCCTGGTCTCCATTCTCGGATGATAACAGGAGTGACCCTAAGAGGCCCTTCCTCCCTGCCCTCATAAAAATCAAGGTAAGGAAAAGAAAGATTTGGGCACACTAGAGGGGAGGAGGGTCACGAAATGGATCTCTGATTCCTGCACCCTTCCTGGTCTAATGAGGCCCTAAGCATCACACAACTGACCTCCAGTGGCCTCTGTGTCATGGTCTCTTGACTCTGGGATTCCTCCCAGGTTTGTTCAGTCACCAACACCCTGCATGGCAGAAATACCAGGACCCCTAAGAAGAACTGGCTTCCAGTTTGTTGGTGATACAGACTCAGACCCTGTGACCAGGCAGTGGGCAGCATCTGCAGGAAAGTCAGTGCTTCTGGGATCCTAACCAGGCCCCAGGCATGGAGGGGAGCACACTCAGAGCCCCAGCCTGGGTTCCTGCCTCAGGAGCACTGGTAAGTCACTGTCCATCTATATACCTTGGTGTCCTCAGCAGCAGAATGCGGTCCTGGAAAAGTCAGGTGATTAGTTGTCTAGGAGGTGCCCACCCTAGGGCTGGGCCCCAAGGGCTCAGGACTCAATGGGATTAGGTCAGTCTGCAAGTAGAATGCCCTCACAGGCACCCCTCACTGCTGGTCACCAGCATGTCAAAGACCAAGCAGCCCTCTAACCTCTGCCAGTTACTGCGACAGGGGTGAGCTGTAGGGTAGAGCTGGGTTTGGAGTTGTAGCTAGTCTAAGAAATGAATGGTTCCTAGGAAACTGCCTCTTGGCCTCAGTTTGCTCACCTGTAAAGTGGAAATGCCAAGAAAACATCTACTGCCATCATTTCTATGGTTAAATAATAATATTGCTGAACTTGTCACTTAATTCCACAAATCCTCTCAGCTACTCTATCCCAGTGATCGAGGACAGATGTCTTAACTATGGAATGGGCTTTCCTTTCTGACCTATGACCTAAAGGATTAGATAGGCATTACCGTAGGAAGGCTGTGAAAACGATGAATCTGCACTATGGTTCCTTACCGCCCCTGATGCCTGGGGTCAGCTGCCTCCTTGGTCCAGGACTGTCTACCCCAGAGCCCTGGGGATCTGACTGGAGGGGTGGGGAAGGGTGAGGAAAAATAATGTGTTCTCTGATAGAGCTGGGGGTTCTGGTGTTGAGTTGGCTGGTGGTTTGAACTCTGTGGGGAATACACATTGGAGAGGCATTTTAAGACCCCCCCCCCACATCTCTACACTGTTCAGATTCCTGGTAGCCACCTTAGTATAGAACCCCTAAAACATAAAACACTTCTATGCTGTGAAGGGGCAAAGTCTGGCCTGAAGGACCAGAGGAGGAGGTGAAAGGAGCTGCCCCCCACCATAATCCCCAGTACACACAGTGCTGAGAAAGGATATCCATCCAACCCTTCCCTCCCAAAGGCAGAACCTGGAAATCCAAAACAGAGTGAAAGGGACAGGCAAGAGGGCAAGAGGTATCAGCCCTCAAACAGTCCAGTACCCAGTCCAGGCTCCCAAGGGTTAAGATGGGGGGGGGGTGCAGGGTCAGTACTGGTGGACAGACGGGCCTGGAGCCCAGAGCCTGCCTCCCCTCCCCCTCCCTTGGGAACAGAAGCCACTTGTTTGGGCATTGGCGGCTGGTTTTGAGCTCGGCCAAGGGAGAGTGGGGTGGGAAGAGGCCTCAGAGAGTGGTAGGGACTCCCCTCCCTCCAGCAGAGGCTAGGTCTGTGCTCTGAGCCCCCTGCCCTGCAAAGCCCCTTGCCGTGGCTCTCCCTTTCCTTCACTTTAACACTGGGCAGGATTCACAGAGGTCTGACTCTTGCTTTTGCAGTTTGTCCTGGGAACTTCATGAAGCCAAGCTTGGATCATCCCATCCGGTGGATGGGGACAAGGAGGCTCTGAAAAGGACTGAGAGCTGCAGACTCACCCAGGGCTTGGTGGCAGTATTGAGACTCCAGGTCGCATATCCCTGGGCAGTCCTATGTCTGCCCCCTATCTCTACAGAACTCTAAGTACAGAACTCTAAGGAAACTTGTCCTAAGCCGTGCCATTGCCCAGGACTGAAAACGGGACTGGAAGGCACTGCAATAAACCCACTTCTGAACCCTGAAGTCTAAAGGACCTGGGGATTTGAAGGAGAAAAAAACTTGGGCAGAGGTGGAGGTGGGGGGGAGGGGGATATCTGCATAAAAGGCTGAGTCTTGAAGGGTAGAAAAGCATGAAAGTATGGAGAGGTATGGCTGAAGCCCAGGTGGTAGGGACCAAGTGAGGAGGCCTGCATGCCCAATGAAACCTGAGAGCCATTGGGGCCACCTCCACCTCACCAGCCATCAGCAGTCTGCCTGGGACACCTCCTTCTCACCCTATTCCAGCAAGTAAGTGGCCACTGGGGGCAGGGTCAGAAAGCCGGGGTCTAAATAAACTCCAACCAGGCATGCACCCCAAGGGGTTTTCTGCACACCCTCCCAGCCCACCCCTTATAGCCATATCTATATCCTCACCATTTTTCAGAGTTTATCCCAATTTCTGCCTCTGCAAGAGCTCTGCCCTCACCTGGGGGCCCAGTTCTTGCAAACTGCCACTTAACTGCCAAGTTCATTCCAGGTATCTCCTCCACACCTGTCCACACCTGTCTCCGTGGTTCTGCTGCACGCCTTCTGCCCCATAATGAAGGCTTCCCCTAGCTGGGTGCTCCTGGCTTTCCAAGGACCGGTATCAAGGACCCGGTATTTCTACAGCAGTCAAAACCTTTCCTAAGCACCCCTCAAGTCCAGCCCTGAATCCCTCCCCCTGAATCTGGACATTGGGAAACGCTCCCCAGTACACCGGATTTGGAGGAACATATGACAGAAACCTCTTATGATGGCTCCTGATCAGTCACCCAGCACCCATAGCCACCCCTGGAGATCTGAGACCAAACACCCACCGAGCCTACCCAGCCATCAGTAGTCGGCACGCCAAGCCTGCTTCCCCTATGCCCAACCACCCACTCCCAGTCTGACCCCATTCAGTGAACACACTCCTCCTTTTCCTGCAATTTGGGCCAGGCAGGCTCTTGGGAGGCCATGCCCCCAATAAGTGGTGGGGAATTGAGGTACAGAGACCGGAAGTGGCCAAGGTTACTGAAGCCCCAGATCCAGGGCTTAGGGTCTTATGGATCTGGGAAGCTGTAAGGGTATCCGCGCGCGGTCCATCGGGTGGGAGCTTTCATTTCACAGGTGGGAAAAGCAAGTCGCAGGGAGCCGATTGGCTCCAGGCCTGAGAGCCGGCAAGCCGAAGAGCTCAGGACTGGAAGCCGGTGTCCGCCAGCTCACCCTGCTCACTAGGGTTCAGGCCAGCCGCTTCATCCTCCTGAGACCGGCTACCCCTTCCCACCTCCACCCCCAAGCTGGAGAACCGACCCGATGGCCCAGGGAAAAGCGTGCCCTGCGCCGCGCAGCCTCACCTTTCCCTTCTGCGGAATGGGGACACTGCGGAGCACACCTGGAGAGCGGGCTTCGGAGGGGGAGGCCCCAGCAACAGCACTGACCTGTTGTGAGCGAAGGCTACTCCACGCGGAGAACCCAGGGTCCCCGTGCCTCTGACTCACGCCACCCGCCAACTCGCTGCAGCCGGCCCGGCGCGCCCACCCCGCGGGGCGCTTCCGCCCGCCCCACGTGACACCCCAGGGACTAGAGGGCGGGGAAGGTCCGGCTCCGCCCCCAGCCTAGTAGCGTTCCAGAGTCCCCTAGACAGACCCGCTGGCCCGGTTTGTCTCTCCCTTGCCCTTCTCGGTGCTAGCATGTTGAGGCCCAGGGCTACCCCAATCCCTGCTGAGCCTCCATGGATCCTTGAGTGTCGTTGTCCGTGCCCCCCGCCCCGACACCACACCACACCACACACAGGAGCCATTGAAGGTTGATGACCACCTCCCTTGGGGGTCCTTCTGCACCATCCCTCAAGAACACCCACTTCTGCTGGGTGTGGTGGTGCACACCTTTAATCCTGGCACTTGGGAGGTAGAGACAGAGGCAGGCAGGATCTCTGTGAGTTCAAGGCCTGGTCTACATAGTGAGTTCCAGGTCAACTTAGGCTACAAGGAGACCCTGTCTCAAAAAGACCTAAAAAAAAAAAAAAAAACCAAAAAGAACGCCCCACTTCTGTCCGCGAGACCACATCTCCCTACATTGAGTGCTGGAGAAGTCCCACCTGATTTGGCAGACATGCTGGGTCCTGTGGCCAGGGCTTCTGTGGGAGCGGCCAGGCCAGGCTAGGCCAGAGGCTTTAGCTTATCTGGACTTCAGTTTTTCCAGACACAATGGGAAACTTTGGAAGAACAGCTGTCACCAGGGTGGGCCAAGGGGTTTGCCCTCAGAAGAGGAAGGTGCCTTTGAGCGCCTACTCCATGCCAGGCCCAGTGATGGGTAATTTGTTCCTTTTATGTCAATTCTCAACTTGCTTAAAGGTAAAAATTATCTAGGCCATCCATTAGGAAACCAGGGTCTGAAATTTTTCAGGGCTTCCCCAAAGTTACAAAACTGTTATTGGGCAAAATGCAACTTCAACTGTCTGGGTGATAGGATCTTCTGCCTGTCGCCTCTGGCCATTGAAACTGTTCCTCTGAGAGAGACCTGACTCTGGACAGACTTGTCTTCCATAAGCAGGGCTAAAGCCAGCAGCTTTCCAGGAGGAGTAAACAGGGTCAGAGCCTGGGGAGTACTTCCAGACCTCAAGTTCTCAGGAGGCCAAAAACACTGGAGGAAAAGCAGCGCCTAAGGCCAAATCTGGGACTCCCAGTGCTCCTCGGGCAGCACAGGAGCTGTGGAGACCAGAGGCAGGCCTGGCGGCCCTCTAGATGTCACAACAGCCAGGCGAAACAAGGTGAGGGCTGGCATCTGGAGAGGATGGGGGGCCCACAGTTCCTGTTAACATAGTCCTAAGTATGTTAGTCCTTAGATAGTATGTGCTGAAAGTATGAGTCACCACCATCTCCCTCCCTCCTCCAGGTCAGGCTGCTCCACCTCCATTCTGAGGCCCTCAGCTTTGACCTATGGACCCCTCCTCTTCATTTCTGAGATAATAGGAGCCTGCCTGGGAGCCCAAACCAACAGACCATTGCTGGCTCAGACCCAGGTCTGTCACACAGTAGAAACTTGACCTCTGACCAGACCAGCTCCTTCACCTAGAGCCATAAAAATCAAGGAAACAGCCTGGTGACCAGCAAAGGACATGTGCAAAGGGACAAGGAAAAGGAAACAAAGGACAGGAAGAGGTGACAACCCCCCTTCCAGCAGTTACACAAGTGGAAATAAAATGCCTAAAGGTTCATAGGCCTAGCAAGCAATAATGGCATTAAGGAAATTAATTGTAGACCAGAGCAGCCGTGGTGCCAGGCAGCTGAGAAGCACTCACAAGAAGAAGCCGGCTGGGGCTGTGCATCGTTTATTAGGGCTGTGTCCCGCCAGGCCACAGGCACCTGAACAGGAGCCCAGCGCCCCCAGAAGGCGGGTGGGGGAAGTGCAGAAGGCTCCGCCCCGAGGGCTCCACCCCAGTCCAGTCTAGGTCCTTGCAGAAGGGCAGCATTCAGGTGAGCGAGGTGTCATCGTCGCTGCCCTCACCGCCGGTACCTCCTGCTCGCTCCTCTCGGCTCTCGGCCACCGCGCTCTCATCGATGTTCTCCAGCGAGTCTGCGTGCTGCACCGACAGCTCCGACAGCGCCAGGCTGGGCAACGGGCTCTGCTCAGGGTGCAGCCACGGCTTGAAGTGTGGCTGGTGCTTCTGCTTCCACTCGGGGTACTTGACGCAGGCCTTATACATCTTCTTCATGGCCTGTAGACGGGAGAGTCAGGGGTACGGGAAGACCAGCGCTTCTCCGCGCCCCTCAAGCGCCCTCCAGCGGTGCACAGCAGTCCCCAGCATCCCAATGCTGGCCCAATTTCCGGATCTGGTCTAACTCTGCCCTATCTGCCCGAATGGGTCTCCATCCTTGACTCCGACCCCACCCCACCCCTGTCACCCCACCCCCACCCCCTTTTATCTCCAAAGTCCCAAGGCCACTCACCTTAGGAGCCAGGAACTGAGATGATTTATTCACCACCCATTTGGGTAAGGAGCCTGTGAGGGCAAGGATAGGAGAGAATGTGAGAAGGAAAGAGGAGGCCTCTTGAAAGAGGAGGCCTTTGCAGGGCTGCAAAGAAAACCATAGGACTAGGTGACCACAAGCAACTTATTGGGTTGACATTCTGACCCACCAAGCTCCAGACTGCCACTTCCCTCCCCTCATATTGATATTCCTTCCACATGAACCATCTGCAGACACTCCCTCATGTCCAGCCTGTCCTTTGCCTGTCCTTCTAGGCCCCCTCTACAACAGCAGGGAACCCTTAGCTCAGCACTCCAGCCTGACCTGACAGGGAATCCACAGCCCAGCTCTCCACCTGTCTCATCCCCGAGTATCTGTGCACAGTCATTAAGGGTCAAGGACCCCTGACCTAAGCCATTGTGCCCAAGGGATTTGCAGTATACCTGTCAAAGATGTTTGAAGCTTAACCATAGTCTGGACAATCATTCAGTCACCCACTCACTCCACATTCATTGTGACATTCACCCTGGACCAGCCTAGGGGATCCAAAAAGAAACTCAGTGTCTGGGGTCTCAACCATAGCCTTGTATTCTCTTAGAGAGGAATGGGCCCAGAAAGCAGGGAGCAGGCACTTGCTCTGAGAATCAGGGAAAAGAGGAGGGGGGACATCTGACCCAGCCCTGGAAGGCTAATGAGGGATCTGAGAGTGAGAGCTGAATGGATACTGAGGTGGGAAATGGGAGAGTGTAGAGAGCCTGGGAATTCTGGACAGAGGCTCAGGTTGTAGTTGGAGGGTTACAGAGTGACAGCAATATTCCCTTCAAACCCCTAGCTCAGCATTTCTCAAGTAGGCTGGAAGGTCATGAGGAAATAGGTGTTAAAAAAAAAATTCATCAGCTGGGCATGGCCTATGCCTTTAATCCCAGCATCAAGGAGGCAGAGGCAAGTAGATCTCTGTGAAATTGAGGCCTGCCTGGTTTAACACAGTTGAGTTCTAGGTCAGCTAGGGCTACTGGGAGATCCTGTCTCAAAACAAAACAAAAAAATTCATTCCTCTAGTAGCTGGTTTGGACAGAAAAGATGTCTGACTACCAAAAGAATGACAGGTCTAGGCACTGTGTTGGAAGGTGAAACCATATGAGTCAGGTTGGTTATGTTGGCACCTGCCTGTAACCCCAGCACTCAGGAGATGGAGGCAGAAAGACAATGGGTTCAAAGCCAGCCTGGGCTACATAGTGAAATAAAAGAAAGGAAGGAAGGCCGGGCGTGGTGGCGCACGCCTTTAATCCCAGCACTTGGGAGGCAGAGGCAGGCGGATCTCTGTGAGTTCAAGGCCAGCCTGGTCTACATAGTGAGTTCCAGGACAGCTGGGGCTACGGAGAGACCGTCTCAAAAAGACCAAAAAAAAAAAAAAGAAAGAAAGGAAGAAAGGAATGACAGGGTTAGATTTAGGAACTGAGAAAGAGGAGCTGGCCCCAGCTAACTGTAACTGGCAGGTGCTGGGCAGGCTGAGCGGAAGACAAGTCATTGATCAGGAGAAAGGGCAGGTCTGGGAAGGGCAACAGTGAGTCCACAGATCGACACAGTGAGTCTTAGGCACCTAGAAGACATTGTGAGGAAGAGGTCTTGCTGACTCGCCTCAGCAGAGAGGAGTGGTCAGCTGCCATGGAAATGGCTAAGCCCAAGAATGAGAAGAGAGGCTTGGAAAACTCAGGCCCTCCCTGCAGAATGTAGCTGGTGGAGATAGGGCAGGAGCAATTCAAGTTAGGGGTGCCCCCACCCAGAAAGATAGTGCCAAGCCTCCTGAGAGGAGCAGTGGCTGCTGCCTTGGCCCATTCCTTCAAACCACCAGCTCTGGATAGAGATGCCCCCAGTACTAAATGGCTCCTAACATATGATCTTCTGCTCCCTGGCAGATCAAGTCCATCCCCTGTGGTATAGGGAAGGATCCCATGATGGGCTGCAGGGCCAAGCCCTCACCTTTGGGGTCCACCTGGGCCAGGTAGGTGATGACGCAGCTCTTGGGCCCCGTGCTCTGGATGAGGTAGCCCGTCTGGATAGACACAGCTCGGACCAAGTCTTTCCGAGGTGGGTATTTCTGGGGATGGAAGGTATAGGGAGGTGAGACTTGGGTAAGGACAGAGGAGATGTCTCTGTATTACACACACACACACACACACACACACACACACACACACAGAGAGAGTTGGTTCATATTCACTGGTGTCTGTGCCAGGCCAGGCTGATATGGGTTGAGGAGAAAAGAAAAAGTCAAACCAGGTTGTCTTTGCCCATCTTTCAGCTTTCTCTGTGCTCTCACAAAAGCACTAGGCTGGATCAAGGCTCTTGAGTGCTTGTGGGCACAAAACCCTTGCCCAGACCAGGTGTTCCTGCCTGCCCTCTCTCAAGGCAGTCTGCCTCAGGACCCTGCTGCTCACCTTTTGCTTCCCCATTTCTTGGCCAGTCTCACCCCAAGGCCCAGTCAACCACATCAGTTCATCCCACCCTGTCACTCCAGAGATGGCCCACACTACCC